AACATTTTCGAAACTTAATTAAATACATTTTCCTGTAGATTTCGAGCTTTAGAACTCACTTTCGGAATCGTTTCTTAGACAACTCCAACCGTTTTCCCAGAATCGACCGTTGAAATATCGAAATTTTTAGAAATTTTCAAAATTTCGCATTTCGTAACGATTCTTTCGAAAATGTTGCTCGGTGACCATCAACACTCTATATTTTTGGAATCAGCATGTCGAGATCTACGTCCCTGAATTTTTTCACAATTTTTAAACAATTTTTTTAAAAGTGAAATTTTTCCAATGGTCCCCCCTTCTTCAAATTCCGCCCAAATTTTGACATTTTCGAAACTTAACTAAATACATTTTCTTGTAGATTTCGAGCCCTAGAACTCACTTTCGGAATCGTTTATTTGACAACTCCAACGGTTTTCCCAGAATCAACCGTTGAAATATCGAAATTTTTAGAAATTTTCAAAAATTCGCATTTCGTAACGATTCTTTCGAAAATGTTGCTCGGTGACCATCAACACTCTATATTTTTGGAATCAGCATGTCGAGATCTACGTCCCTGAATTTTTTCACAATTTTTAAACAATTTTTTTAAAAGTGAAATTTTTCCAATGGTCCCCCCTTCTTCAAATTTCGCCCAAATTTTGACATTTTCGAAACTTAACTAAATACATTTTCTTGTAGATTTCGATCTCTAGAACTCAATTTCGGAATCGTTTCTTTGACAACTCCAACCGTTTTCCCAGAATCGACCGTTGAAATATCGAAATTTTTAGAAATTTTCAAAAATTCGCATTTCGTAACGATTCTTTCGAAAATGTTGCTCGGTGACCATCAACACTCTATATTTTTGGAATCAGCATGTCGAGATCTACGTCCCTGAATTTTTTCACAATTTTTAAACATTTTTTTTAAAAGTGAAATTTTTCCAATGGTCCCCCCTTCTTCAAATTTCGCCCAAATTTTGACATTTTCGAAACTGAACTAAATACATTTTCTTGTAGATTTCGAGCCCTAGAACTCACTTTCGGAATCGTTTCTTTGACAACTCCAACGGTTTTCCCAGAATCGACCGTTGAAATATCGAAATTTTTAGAAATTTTCAAAAATTCGCCTTTCGTAACGATTCTTTCGAAAATGTTGCTCGGTGACGATCAACACTCTATATTTTTGGAATCAGCATGTCGAGATCTACGTCCCTGAATTTTTTCACAATTTTTAAACAGTTTTTTTAAAAGTGAAATTTTTCCAATGGTCCCCCCTTCTTCAAATTTCGCCCAAATTTTGACATTTTCGAAACTTAACGAAATACATTTTCTTGTAGACTTCGAGCTCTAGAACTCACTTTCGGAATCGTTTCTTTGACAACTCCAACCGTTTTCCCGGAATCGACCGTTGAAATATCGAAATTTTTTGAAATTTTCAAAAATTCGCATTTCGTAACGATTCTTTCGAAAATGTTGCTCGGTGACCATCAACACTCAATATTTTTGAAATCAGCATGTCGAGATCTACGTCCCTGAATTTTTTCACAATTTTTAAACAATTTTTTCAAAAGTGAAATTTTTCCAATGGTCCCCACTTCTTCAAATTTCGCCCAAAATTTGACATTTTCGAAACTTAACTAAAAACATTTTCTTGTAGATTTCGAGCCCTAGAACTCACTTTCGGAATCGTTTCTTTGACAACTCCAACCGTTTTCCCAGAATCTACCGTTAAAATATCGAAATTTTTAGAAATTTTCAAAAATTCGCATTTCGTAACGATTCTTTCGAGAATGTTGCTCTGTGACCGTCAACACTCTATATTTTTGGAATCAGCATGTCGAGATCTACGTCCCTGAATTTTTTCACAATTTTTAAACAATTTTTTTAAAAGTGAAATTTTTCCAATGGTCCCCCCTTCTTCAAATTTCGCCCAAATTTTGACATTTTCGAAACTTAACTAAATACATTTTCTTGTAGATTTCGAGCTCTAGAACTTACTTTCGGAATCGTTTCTTTGACAACTCCAACCGTTTTCCCAGAATCTACCGTTGAAATATCGGAATTTTTAGAAATTTTCAAAAATTCGCATTTCGTAACGATTCTTTCGAAAATGTTGCTCGGTGACCATCAACACTCTATATTTTTAGAATCAGCATGTCGAGATCTACGTCCCTGAATTTTTTCACAATTTTTAAACAATTTTTTTAAAAGTGAAATTTTTTCAATGGTCCCCCCTTCTTCAAATTTCGCCCAAATTTTGACATTTTCGAAACTTAACTAAATACATTTTCTTGTAGATTTCGAGCCCTAGAACTCACTTTCGGAATCGTTTCTTTGACAACTCCAACCGTTTTCCCAGAATCTACCGTTGAAATGTCGAAATTTTTAAAAATTTTCAAAAATTCGCATTTCGTAACGATTCTTTCGAAAATGTTGCTCGGTGACCATCAACACTCTATATTTTTGGAATCAGCATATTGAGATCTACGTCCCTGAATTTTTTCACAATTTTTATACAATTTTTTTAAAAGTGAAATTTTTCCAATGGTCCCCCCTTCTTCACATTTCGCCCAAATTTTGACATTTTCGAAACTTAACTAAATACATTTTCTTGTAGATTTCGAGCTCTAGAACTCACCTTCGGAATCGTTTCTTTGACAACTCCAACCGTTTCCCCAGAATCGACCGTTGAAATATCGAAATTTTTAGAAATTTTCAAAAATTCGCATTTCGTAACGATTCTTTCGAAAATGTTGCTCGGCGACCATCAACACTCTATATTTTTGGAATCAGCATGTCGAGATCTACGTCCCTGAATTTTTTCACAATTTTTAACAATTTTTTTAAAACTGAAATTTTTCTTTTTCCAATGGTCCCCCCTTCTTCAAATTTCGCCCAAATTTTGACATTTTCGAAACTTAACTAAATACATTTTCTTGTAGATTTCGAGCTCTAGAACTCACTTTCGGAATCGTTTCTTTGACAACTCCAACCGTTTTCCCAGAATCTACCGTTGAAATATCGGAATTTTTAGAAATTTTCAAAAATTCGCATTTCGTAACGATTCTTTCGAAAATGTTGCTCGGTGGCCATCAACACTCTATATTTTTGGAATCAGCATGTCGAGATCTACGTCCCTGAATTTTTTCATAATTTTTAGACAACTTTTTTAAACGTGAAATTTTTCCAATGGTCCCCCCTTCTTCAAATTTCGGCCAAATTTTGACATTTTCGAAATTTAACTAAATACATTTTCTTGTAGATTTCGAGCTTTAGAACTCACTTTCGGAATCGTTTCTTTGACAACTCCAACCGTTTTCCCAGAATTTACCGTCGAAATATCGAAATTTTTAGAAATTTTCAAAAATTCGCATTTCGTAACGATTCTTTCGAAAATGTTGCTCGGTGACCATCAACACTCTATATTTTTGGAATCAGCATGTCGAGATCTACGTCCCTGAATTTTTTCACAATTTTTAGACAATTTTTTTAAAAGTGAAATTTTTCCAATGGTCCCCCCTTCTTCAAATTTCGCCCAAATTTTGACATTTTCGAAACTTAACTAAATACATTTTCTTGTAGATTTCGAGCTCTAGAACTCACTTTCGGAATCGTTTCTTTGACAACTCCAACCGTTTTCCCAGAATCGACCGTTGAAATATCGAAATTTTTAGAAATTTTCAAAAATTCGCATTTCGTAACGATTCTTTCGAAAATGTTGCTCGGTGACCATCAACACTATATTTTTGGGTTCAGCATGTCGAGATCTACGTCCCTGAATTTTTTCACAATTTTTAAACGATTTTTTTTTAAGTGAAATTTTTCCAATGGTCCCCCCTTCTTCAAATTTTGCCTAAATTTTGACATTTTCGAAACTTAACTAAATACATTTTCTTGTAGATTTCAAGCTCTAGAACTCACTTTCGGAATCGTTGCTTTGACAACTCCAACCGTTTTCCCAGAATCTACCGTTGAAATATCGAAATTTTTAGAAATTTTCAAAAATTCGCATTTCGTAACGATTCTTTCGAAAATGTTGCTCGGTGACCATCAATACTCTATATTTTTGGAATCAGCATGTCGAGATCTACGTCCCTGAATTTTTTCACAATTTTTAAACGATTTTTTTTTAAGTGAAATTTTTCCAATGGTCCCCCCTTCTTCAAATTTTGCCTAAATTTTGACATTTTCGAAACTTAACTAAATACATTTTCTTGTAGATTTCAAGCTCTAGAACTCACTTTCGGAATCGTTGCTTTGACAACTCCAACCGTTTTCCCAGAATCTACCGTTGAAATATCGAAATTTTTAGAAATTTTCAAAAATTCGCATTTCGTAACGATTCTTTCGAAAATGTTGCTCGGTGACCATCAATACTCTATATTTTTGGAATCAGCATGTCGAGATCTACGTCCCTGAATTTTTTCACAATTTTTAAACAATTTCTTTAAAAGTGAAATTTTTCCAATGTTCCCCCCTTCTTCAAATTTCGCCCAAATTTTGACATTTTCGAAACTTAACTAAATACATTTTCTTGTAGATTTCAAGCCCTAGAACTCACTTTCGGAATCGTTTCTTTGACAACTCCAACCGTTTTCCCAGAATCGACCGTTGAAATATCGAAATTTTTAGAAATTTTCAAAAATTCGCATTTCGTAACGATTCTTTCGTAAATGTTGCTCCGTGACCATCAACACGCTATATTTTTGGAATCAGCATGTCGAGATCTGCATCTCTAAATTTTTTCACAATTTTTAGACAACTTTTTTAAAAGTGAAATTTTTCCAATTTCGGCCAAATTTTGACATTTTCGAAACATAACTAAATACACTTTCTTGTAGATTTCGAGCTCTAGAACTCACTTTCGGAATCGTTTCTTTGACAACTCCAACCGTTTTTCCGGAATCGACCATCGAAATATCGAAAATTTTAGAAATTTTCAAAAATTTCAAATTTGCCTTAGAATCCGCTCTTTAATAATAATCATAAAGTTTTTATTTAGGTCTTATTCTCTTGAAGGATATTCCCATTGGCCTCCTCCACGATATTAACAACCTCGTGTCGAAACTGAACGACAGACTAGACGAACTGGAGGACCTAATTTCCAACAACAGGATTTTCATTGCACGAACTAAAAACATTGGTGTTATTTCAGCAGAACAAGCCGTCAATCTGGGATTCTCGTAACGTTACCATAGCACATAGACGATTTCCACAACCATGTTTTCCAGAGGGGTTATGTTAAGAAGCTGCGGGATCAAATGGGACTTACGCAAAACCCAACCATATGAAGTTTACGACGAACTAGAGTTTGATGTTTGTATTGGTCATGGTGGCGATATTTACGACAGGTTGGTTGTCTCAGTTAACTGACGGATTAACAATCAATCACTGGTATAAACTTAGGTATTTAGTACGGGCTGCCGAGATGCGTCAGTCCATACGATTATGCGCCCAACTACTTAATAAAATGCCAGCCGGAGAGGTTAAAGTCGACGATCACAAAATTTCAGCCCCTAATCGCAGGGAAATGAAGGTGTTTTCGATAAGTTTGGTGACTGGTTTAAAGCGATTTTTGTAGAGTTCTATGGAGGCTTTGATTCATCACTTCAAGCTCTTCAGTCAGGGGTTCCAGGTGCCGCCGGGGTGTGCGTATGTGGCGACTGAGCACCCCAAAGGTGTGTGTCGTTGATATATTTCAGTGGTGCCAACCACACATCGTGAATCATTTTTAGGAGAGTTTGGGGTTTATTTAGTGTCTGATGGTAGCTCCAGGCCGTACCGTTGTAGAATTAGAGCGCCGAGTTTTATTCACCTGGCTGGGATGACTGTTTTGTCAAAAAATTATTTTCTCGCTGACGTCGTTGCCATTCTCGGTAACACATTCCCAGAGTTTTTTTTGACAGTTAGTGTGTAATAAGAACGTTTTTTTCAGCTTCGCTTGACGTGGTGTTTGGCGACGTGGATCGTTGATTTGTGCTTTAGTTGTAAATAAAAGGCTGTTTAAAATTAGTAATAGATAACATTTTATTCAAGAATAATAATATAATAATTGAACTAACATGTTGAACTAACTCAGTACATTCTTATGACTAGAAATACTATTATACAAAAGTTCTGATCCATTTTCAAAAACTGTCAAGCCATGTCATGCGCGTCTACTTAAGGGTTAACAGTTCTAAAACAATGGAGTCACTTAAGAATGCCTGATTTAACATAAAGACTGGCCAGTGAAGTATGTTTAAAGTTCTTTCACAGGAATGTTTATCACTTGTTGTAAATTACGAACTGAAAATGTCTCACATAACAAAAGCATCGACTAACAAAGAAACAAGATTGGTCGTATTAGAGGTTTAAAGGCGCCGAAAATAATTCTCTCATAAAGTTTCGTTACTCTGTAGTTTCACTATACATAATGATAATTTTGTCTTAGATAAAATAAATAAATACGTTTTAACTGCGTTGGCAGCTGACTACGTCCACCTGCGCGGACCTACATCCAGCAGTCGTGACTAATTTACTGCTTTCTTTGGTCTTCTGACAAACGACGAACTAAAATAGCCATAATAAAACAACTAAATTAATATAAACACATTAACAAATGGACAGGACAAATATTAAATAGTATTCCACCAATCAACGAGATTCAGTCTTTTTCATTACTATCCCCACATTCTAAGATCTGGTTTTAGGCAGTTGTCGCAAATGGAAGCACTTATAATAACTTAGGTTTCGTTTATTTAGTAACTCTCAACTACGTAGTCGGAAACGTCCCTCTAATTCCTCTACTAATACTAAAACCAGATGCCAGGGCCGTCCTAAGACTTGTACGTACGGATCACGTCTCTAATGACGGCCCTGCACAGAGGGCAGTGCCCTCCACCTTTGCCCCGCCATTGCTGCAACGCACATTCGTAGCACATGCACATATGTCCGCACATGTAAAGGACGGCATCGATGGAGTTCTCGTAGCATATCGTGCACTCGGTGCCCGTGCCCAGGGTGGCCCCGTTCTGCTCGGCCCAACCGAGCGGCGTCGAGTAGGCGCTGGAGTCCGAAACCGGCTGCAAAAAAACACAGTCAGTACAAATTCGAAATACGGCCTTGTTCGGCTTCGCCGACTATACTAACCTCGACGTAAGTACTGCTACAGGTGGAAATCATGGTCCCCGTGGGCGGCAAGCTGGGTGACACCGGTACGGGCGCCACCACCGGCGCCTGTCCCACGAAGCTGGGGTGGGGTCCGTGCCCATTCTGACCGTGCACCACGTTCTGGTGGTTCACGTGCACGGTTTGCGTCTGTTGGTTGATAAAGTTGGCGTGCGCCGGGGGCAGAATCACCGATAGAACCGCCCCCCCGTTGGTGGCGGGTTGTACTTGAATGTCCGCCGGTGCCACGCAGCACAGTCTTGAGTTCGACTGCAACACCGTGTTCCTCCGGATCTCCGACTGACTGTTAATGCTATTCATGGACTCGGTAGCCGACGGAGATATTATCCTCCGGACTGGAGACACCGGAGACGGGCAGCTCATCACCCGGACTCGTTGGGTGGACCCATATATATCGAAGAACGCCCATAGACGAAGGGTCTGGTCGACGTGGATCACCACCAAAGGGTTGTCTCCGTTCCTGCTAATTTGCACCTCGCCCGACGGAGAAATGCAGAAGCTAATCTCATCACCCTTATTAAGGTGGCGTGCAAAGTCCCGACTCAGCACCCAATACTCAGGCCGGTCCAGCAGAAAATTAGAGTCATCGGGAAGATCGCCCGTTTGTAACGTGGCAGGGTCGCACGAAGTTAACCCCAGCCCCAAGCACCCTTGAAACATGGGCTCGGTCGCCAAAATTTGCACCACGACCCGCTCCCCGAGTTGGAGAGGTCGCGCCGTGAAGACATAACCTTGACAGAACTCCGTATCGGTTCGATACGCGTTATTCCGACTACTCCCGAAGCGTACGTTCCTCCCCCGGGTCCGGTGCAGCATCATCGGAGTGAAGTTCAATTGCTGGGGCTGGTATCTGAGGAGAGGCAGCGACATCTCCTCGCTGTCTCTCTGCTGGATATGTATCTGTTCCATGCGGTATATGATCCTGTCGACGTCTTCTGGGGTGTTGTCGCAACTGTTGGACCCGATGTTCCTGCGGGAGTTGTTGAGTTGGTGGCGGATGTCCACGAACTCGATGGCGGTGGAGTTGCCGTAGACGTCGATGAGGGCCCAGAGGGGGCCGCGGGTTTCCACGCCGCTGAAGAAGACGCCTTTTTCTTCGCCGTTGATGCCGAAGTGGACGTCGCCGGTGGAGGTTACGTAGTAGAATAAGACGGTGTTTTGGCTGCAGTAGCGCTCGGGGAGGGCTTTGGCCCAGTAGCCGGGCTTGTTGGTGAGGTCGGGGCAGGCGTATTTGGGTAGGCCGTAGCGGAGGCTGCTGGGGTCGTTGAAGGTGAAGCCGAAGCGGATGACGCCGCTCCAGTTGTTGGAGATTTCCAAGAATTTGATGCAGATCTGGAAATAACGAAGTTGTAGCTTTGGTATCTTTGACGATCAATTTTTGGGAAGAACATTAAAAAGTATAACAATTTTTCAAATTTTCGATTTTTCGATTACTCGATTTTTGACTTTTCGACTTTTTAGATTTCTCGATACTTCAGTTTTCAACTCGATTTTTTTATTTCACTTTTATTATTCAGTTTTTCAATTCTATAATTCTTGGATTTTTCGCCTTCTAAATTTTTTCACTTTCAAAATGTTTCAATTTTTCAATTTTACACAATTTCGATTTTAGATGTTCAAATCATCGATTTTCAATTTTTTGACGTTTCTAAATTTTCGATTTCTCGATCTTTCAATTTTTCGATTTCTGGATTTATCGAAATTTCGACGTTTCGATTTTAATGTTGTCCAATTTTTTTTCAATTTTTCAATTTTTGGAGTTTCTAAATTTTCGATTTTTCGATTAATCCATTTTTAAACCTTTCGATTTCTCCATTTTTTGACTTTTCGACTTCTAGATTTCCCAATTATGTATTCCGTTTTTCAATTCTTTATTTTTTGGATTCATCCATTTTTTGATTTTTGAGGTTTTTAAATTTAGAATTTTCCAATTTTTCAATTCTTCAATACATGTTAAGATTTTTCAGTTTTTGAGATTTCTAAATTTTTGATTTCTCGATTAATCCATTTTTCAACTTTTCTATTTCTCGACATTTTGACTTTTCGATTTTTAGATTTTCGGATCATTCTGTTTTTCAATTCTTTATTTTTTAGATTTATCAATTTTTCGATTTTTAAAATTTTCGTATCCTCGATTCTTCAATTTTTCTTAAATTTTTCAGTTTTTCAATTTATCAATTTATCAATTATTCGAAATTTGAATGTTGGGATATTTCGACATTTCTATTTTTAAATTTCTCAAGACTTCGCTGTTTCGATCTTCCGATTTTTAGAAATTTCAATTTATCGAGATTTCATTTTTGGTATTTTTAATTTTTTCGATTCTTTTAAATTATGTATTTCATTTTTCAGTTCTTTTTTACCTTTTAACACGCCAATTTTTCGATTTTTCGATGTCTGCATTTATCGAGATTTCGACGTTTCGATATTTCGTTTTTTCCGTTGTCTAATTTCCCGATTTTTCGATCTTTTGATGTTTCTTTCCATTTTTTTGATGTTTAAATTTTCAATTTTTGAATTTTCCGGTATTTCTTTCCTACGATTTTCCAATTTTTCGTTCCTTCAATTCTTCGATTTTTCAATTTTTGGTGTTTCTAAAGTTTCGATGTTTCGCCTTTCGAATTTTGGGAATTTTTAATCTTTTGGATTTTTCAATATTTCGTCATTTCAATTCTTCAATTTTTTTCCTACTTTTTAGTTTTTTGAAATTTCAGTTTTGGGATGTTTCGATTTTTCCACTGTTACATTTCCCAATTATTCCGTTTTTCAATTCTTCGTTTTTTGGATTTATCAATTTTATGATTTTTTAGGTAGTTGAATTTTCAATTTTTCAATTTTTGTTCCATTTGTCAGTTTTTCGATTTATCGATTTATTAATTTTTCGAAATTTCAGTTTTGGGATGTTTCGACATTTAGATTCCTAAATTTCTCGATTTTCCAGTTTTTCGATTTTTAAAATTCTTTGATAGTTTTTTTTTGTTAGGTTTTAACACTTCAATTTTTCGATTTCTGGATTAATCGAGATTTCGATATTTCGATTTTTCCGTTGTCCAATCAATTTTTCCATTTTCCAAGATTTCCGGTTTACGAGTTTTCAATATTAGGCGTTTCTAAATTTTCGATTTCCTGATTAGTCCATTTTCGACTTTTCGAATTCTCGATTTTTTGACTTTTCAACTTTTAAATCTTCCGAATACTCCGTTTTTCAAATTAAAAATTACAGTTTTAAAATTATTATCGATTTCTGAATTTTTCAATTTTTCAATTCTTCAATTCTTCTATTTTTCCTTTTTAGATTTTTGGATTTACTGAGATTTCGATGTTTCGATTTTTCGGTTGTACAATTTCCCGATTTTTCGATTTCTGGATTTATTGAGGTTTCGATGTTACAATTTTTTCGTTGTCAAAAAATTTAATTATTAAAATATTAATTTTTTTAATTTTAAATTTTCCAATTTTTCAATTTTTTATTTTTCGATCTCTGGATGTTTTTTCGATTTCCCGATGTTTAAATTTTCAATTTCTCAATTTTCCAATATTTCTGCCCTTCGATTTTTCAATTTTTCATTTCTTCAATATTTTGACTTTTTAATTTTTCAATTTTTGGGGTTTCTAAATTTTCGATTTCCCGATTTTTTGAAATTATCATTTCTTTGATTTTTCAGGTTTTTGAATTTTCAATTATTCGATTAATAGATCATTCAATTTTTCTTCTCTTTTCCAGTTTTTCGATCTATCAATCTATATCAATGTATCGAAAAATTTAATATTTCGACTTTTCAATTTTTACAGATTTAATTTTTGGATTTTTCAATTATTGATTGTTTTTTTTTTAACTTCAATTTTGCGATTTCTCGATTTATCGAAATTTCTATTCTCAATTTTTGGCCTTCCTAAATTTTCGATTTTTCGACTTTTCAATTTCTCGATTTTTTGATGTTTCGACTTGTAGATTTCTCGATTATTCTGTTTTTGAATTCTTCGTTTTTTGAATATATCAATTTTTTGATTTTTCAGGTTTTTGAATTTTCAATTTTTCAAAATTTCACTTTTAGGATGTTTCGTCATTTTGATTCTTAAATTTTTCGACTTCGGGGTTTATTGAGATTTCGATGTTTCGAATTTTTGACTGTTCAATTTCTCAATTTTTCGATGTGTCAATTTATCGATTTTCCAATTTTTCCATATTTCGACCTTAATTTTTGGATTTTTTTTGGGTTTTTTCCGTGTTTCGGTTTTCATAGTTTTTCATTTTTGGATCTTTCAGGTTTTTTTTTAATTTTCAACACTTCAATTTTTCGATTTCTCGACATTTTCGGTTTTCCGATCGATTTCTCAATTTTTCGAAATCCCGGTTTTGGGATATTTCGACATTTAGTGTCTTAAATTCCTCGATTTTTCAGCTTTTCGATTCTTTAAAATTTTTTCAATTTTTTGATAGTTTTTTTTAGGTTCTAACACTTCAATGTTTTGATTTTATCCTTTTTGATTTTTCAGTTCTTCAAGTTTTCTAATTTTCAATTTTACAATTTTTCTATTTTTCTATTTTCAATTTCTCGATTTTCCAAGATTTTCGGTTTACGATTTTTCAATTTTCCATTTCATTTTTTCGACTTTTGACTTTTCAATTTTAGGTGTTCCTAAATTTTCGATTTCCTGATTAGTCTCAAAATACATTTTTTGACTTTTCGAATTCTCGATTTTTTGATGTTTCGATTTATCTATCTTCCAATTTTTCGATATTTCGGCTCTTCAGTTTTTCGATTCTTTAATTTTTCTTCATTTTTGGGTTTTTTCAATTTTTCGACAGTTTTTTTTAAATAATTTTGCGATTTCTCGACATTATTGGATTATTATTAATTGTTTAATTTTTCAACATTTCAATTTTAGGAATTTTTCATTTCCCGAATTAGTCAAATTTTAGATTTTTCGATGTTTTTATGTTTTGATTGGTCGATCTTTCGATTTTTCGATATTTCGGTTTTTCAATTTTTAATTTAAAAAATTTTTCATTTTTCGATTTATCCCATGTAGCAATTTTTTGAATGTTCGATTTTTGCATATTTAGATTTTTCTTACTTCTTAAAGATCATCAGAAAACAAAAGTCGCATTTTTTATGATTATTTTCCAAAGAATGAGGATTTGTTCGACTGCACTTCAGGGGCGAAGGAAGTTCTTCGACCAATTTGATTAAATCAGGAACGGCTCATTCCATTTTCTCGAAAATTTGGGAATATTATACTGTTATTATTATCATTACACTGAAACTATCCAAACTGCAAAAATATTGATGACGTCATCACAAAATTTTGTAAAGGAAAAACTCATTTGAAACACACGCCCAGCATGCTTCTTTACGTTTACTTTAAGATTACAAACATATCTTTAATTTATCTGTCAAGGGTTTCTAAAAAAAATAAAGTCGCAAAATTAAATTTTACTCTATAATTTTTTGAAAAAGTTGGATGTTTTATTGTACTTCAGGGGCAAGGGAAGTTCATATTAAATGATCTCGGCTCTAGAGACGTCAAGGATATCTAATGGGCGCCCATAGAAATCTTACTCAGTGGGGGCTACCCTTAAATTTTTGTAATATACCTATCTGTACACATATTTTATATCTCAGTTATTATTTGTGGTAATTTCGGAACGTGGTTTTCGCCACTGTTTTCAGCTTTTCATTGTTAATTTCTCCTGTCACACTTACTTTTTCGTTGACTTTAACAGGCCGCGAGCTGAAGGCGATCCCTTTGCAGAAACTCTCGACTCGCCTCGCGATCGTCCCATCCCTCGAAATCCGAATATTCTCCCCGTGGACATTGTGGAAGAGCAGCGGGGGCAGATTATTAGTCCCGCCACCGTTCGATCCAGACCTCGAGGCTGCAACAAAAGAAATCCTTATTTAGCAACGCCATGTGCCCACCATCTGGGAAAAGCAAAACAGAATTCGCCAGAAATAGAGAATTGTTAAGTACCCGACCGCATCCAGGTGCGTAGGTATATCTGCAATATGGCGCCCTTAGGGGAGGCACAGCTGTCTTGAAGCCAGGGCAGGGGTACGCCCCGGTTTCCGGTTTGTCAACTTCCGAAGACAATAAAATCGAAAAAACCTAACTTGTCTGAGAGATTCCGCACATTTATATTGATTTTCATACCGATCGTGAATTTGTGACCGCAATCGGACGCCAAAGCACTGATCCGAGATACAAAAAAAAAAAAAAAGTGATGCTACAAATTTTTAGTTTTCGGCGAAATGTAGACTACTATTGTGTGAAAAACGAACACTTTCGAGGACAATCTTCACCTTGTATCCGCTTCCAACCGGAAGCGTTTACACAAGACACGTGCGCAAGAGCATAGAGCTTAGATCCGGAGGGTTTGGAGGACCGTATCGAATTACTTTTGTTGCTTCTATTACACATTTCCAGCGAAATGCCCTCACGTAATGAATACATTCTATAACGTCTCGACAGCTTAATTCATCAATTCCCTTGGTAATCTCGCATAAAGAGAGGATTGGACACATGACGCAATGAAATGGGGGTGTATGTTTATGTATTTGCGTGAGTAATGCATTGAGGGGTTTCAGTCAAGTGTTCGCATTTCCATGCTGCCATTCAAAACACTCCCCACGGACTAAGCCCCATGAATATAATGGACTCGAGTGCTCCACCAGGCGAAAATTCGCCACATTATTCCATTTTAATTAGAAAAAATTTAAACTAAGCGGCACAAAAGTAACCGTTTCTGCAATTAGAGCAGCAAGTGGCGAAAAAACCACCGCTGCGTACAAGATGTTATTAAATCCACAGAGCGGCGTTTCCGCGTCGACTAGACAGGTTGATAAATCTTTAAATTTCTTTGTGTGATGAGAAGTTCCCACGATACTCTTGGACCAATCACAAGTGCGCATTAGTTCTATCTCCGTCTCTGTCGCACCCGCAGCCGCGTGCGTGCGAAGAAATTATCCTCAAACGCATAGATAACGTTACCGTCGCCACGATTTTTGCAGCTAATGGTGCGTTCATTTTTTCGCGAGCTAAATGGAGCGTGGTGCGGTGGTCCTCAGGGGCGGCGTTGAGTCCTCGCCGTTTCCATTTTTTCCGCAGCGCGAATTCCGCTTAGCGTCTAAATCTGAGAAACGGTCGAGACGTTGTATCTTATCGGACCCCAGCTAAATATTAATGTTTTTATTTTGAATTTATTTAAATCGAAGACGCATCGCCTCATAAATAATGCATGCGTGCTTTTAGTGTTAACAACAAAGCCGTGGCTCGGCTAAAGCGTCGCTTTTATTTATTAATTTATCGGCGCTGTTAAGCAACGTTCTCACGATTAAATTAAATTATGTAAGGCTGAGATAAGATTACTGGTTTGATCTGTATCCAATTTCCGTCCAGGCTCCGCATTTTAATATCCGTTATAGGAGAAGTTTTTTACGGATGCGGAAAATTAACCGGCGGGACGACTTCCGAAAACTGGTTTCGGATATAATGACACAAAAAAATGCTTAGGTACTGTGGGTATATATGAATATGCAAAGTTTGTTTAAGGGGGGCGTCTGCCAATTTTAGCACTTTACGAAAGTACGTTCGAAAAGTCCGAGAGGCGCTGTCCCCTGGTTACTGAAAATATCGGTCGAGGTCCAACTTCATTTCTGTTAATTTTTACTTTTTTACTACATTTTGTACTTTTTGTTTTTTTTTTTTTTAATATACCTTTTGTAGTCTGAAGTGACTCTTTGTTTAATTTGTGTTTATTCAAAATTAACATAAAATACGAAAAATTAGGTTTCCTGCTTCCGTCTGTCTGCTTGTCGTCTGTCTAAATTTTTATGAGATAATCTCCGGAACTACTGGACCGCTTGTTGTCAAATTTTATATGCATGTATGTTGCGAATGATGATGTTGATGCAGATCTGGAAACAACGAAGCTGAAACTTAGGTACCTTCGACGATATCCTAAGAGTTATTTGCTTCACGAATAATTGAGTTTGTTGGACGATTAAATTTTAAATTTATCCGTCCATGTCCCCCGCCCTCAGGAATTGTTACAATTTTAATGAATAAATGTTAGATATTTAGATTTCTGGAAAAAAATCAAAATAGTATAACAATTTTTTGAAGTTTCGAATTTTCGAATTCCGTTTTTTTTCGATTTCTCAGTTTTCCGATATTTCCATCTATTTTTCAACATTTCGATTTTTTTCGATTTTTAAAATATTTGATTTTCCATTTCTCGATTTTTCAATTTTGGCGTTCCTTAATTTTCGATTATTGAATATTTCGACTTTTAGCAATCGCTCAACGTCACGATTTCTCGATTAGTCAGTTTCTCAGTTTTTCAATTTTTCTTGTAGTTTTCAGCTTTTCGATTTATAGTTTTATCAAATTTTCGATATTTCAGTTTTGGAATTTATCAATATTACCATTTTTCAGTTTTCTGATTTTCAATTTTTCCATTTTACAGTTTTTCAATTTTTCGATTTCTAGATTTACCTATCGAGATGTCGATGCTTCGATTTTTCCGTTGTCCAATTTTTAAAATTGTGCAATTTTTTAATTTTACGATTTCTCGATGTTTTGGTTTTCAAATATCTCAAGGTTTCGATATTTTCTTCCCATGGTTTTTCGATCTTTGGCGTTTTTTTTTTTCCATTTTTCGATTAAACAACTTTTTTTCGGTTGTCCAATTTCTCTATTTTTCGATCTTTTGGCGTTTCCTTCGATATCGCGATTTTCAATTTTCAATTTCTCAATTTTCCGACATTTCCGTTCTACGATTTTTCAATTTTTCATTTCTTCAATTTTTCGAATTTTTAATTTTTCAATTTTTGGCATTTCTAAAATTTTGATTTCTCGATTTTTTGGACTTTTCTATTACTCGGTTTTTGATTTTTAGACTTAGATTTCCCGATTATTCCGTTTTTCAATTCTTCGCCTTTTGGAGTTATCATTTTTTTTATTTTTCAGGTTTTTGAATTTTCAATTTTCCGATTTTTAAAATTTTCGATTAATAGATCATTCAATTTTTCGATTCTTCAATTTTTCTTCTATTTTCCAGTTTTTTGATTTATCAATTTTTAGATTTTTCGATATTTCGACTTTTCAATTTTTAGATTTTCCAATTTTTTGAGATTAATTTTTGGATTTTTCAATTATTTGATAGTTTTTTTTGAAATCTTTAACACTTCAATTTTGCGATTTCTCGATTTTACAGTTTTTCAATTTATCGATTTCCGGATTTATCGAGATTTCGATGTTTTGACTTTTCCGTTGTCCAATTTCCCGATTTTTGGATTTTTAAAATTTTCCAATTTTTGAATTTATAATTTTTTGATTTCTCGACTTTTTGATGTGTCTCTCATTTCTTGATGGTATTCAATTTTTGGCGTTTCTAAATTTTCGATTTCTCGATTAATCCATTTTACGACTTTTCTATTTCTCAATTTTTTGACTTTTCGGCTTTTAGATTTCCCGTTTTTTGGATTTATCAATTTTTCGATTTTTCACTTTTTCAGGATTTTGAATTTTCAATTTTTTTCGATTTTCAATTTCCCAATTTTTCGATGTTTCGATTTTTCCATATTTCGACTCCTTAATTTTTCGAGATTTCATTTTTGGTATTTTTCATCTTCTCCATGTTTCAGTTTTTCGATTCTTTTAAATTTTGCCTTTTTTGGGTTTTTCAACTTTCCCATTTTTAAAATCTTTTTACTTTTGGATTTTTCAATTATTTGATAGTGTTTTTTTTTTACTTTTAACATATTAATTTTTCGATTTTACGATTTTTCTTTTCTTCAAATTGCCCGAATTTATTAAATTTTCGAATTCTCGATTTTTATTTTCTAATATATATTTATTATTTTACGATTTTTCAATTTTTCTTTTTTTGCCGTGTCCAAATTTTCGATTTTTGCCCTGTTTAAATGTTTGATTTCTTTTTTTTAACTTTGCGATGTTTCGATTGATCGATGTCTAGATTTCTCCATTTTTGAGTTTGTCAATTCTTTTATTTTTCTATCTCAACTTTTCGGTTCTTCGATTTTTCTAATATCAGATTTTTCAATGTTTCGGTTACTCGATCTTTCGATGTTTTAACTTCACGGTTTTAGATTTTTCAGTTTTTCAATTTTCGGTTTTAAAATTTTTTGATGTTTCGACTGTTCATTTTCTGGATTTTCCGATATTTCAATTTTTTGATTTCTTAATTTTTCAGTTATTTGATTCTTCAATTGTTCAAGTTATTCGAGTGTTGCGTTTTTACCATAGACATCCAGATTTTGAAGACGTTTTACGATTACCTGAAGTAATTTTTTCATCATACAAACTGTCATTTTTCAATTATTGATTGATTTTTCAATTTTTCAGGTTCTCGATTTTCAATTTTTCGATTCTTCAATTAACTCAAATTCGCATTCTCAATTTTTTATTTTCCAATATTTAATTTTTTTTTAATACATAGAGTTTTATTTCAACATCAGGAAAGTTAAACATGTTTTCACCCCTTCTCAATTGTGATAAATGTTTTATTCATCATGAGCTGAAGGGCTGAGTTTAGTCTGCAAAGTCCTCATTTCTCTACAACAAATTGCCATATGAAATATGTTTTTAAAAGGTAAAATTTTTTAGAAAAATATTGATGTAAAAACGTATTTCATATGATAATTTCTTGTAGAGAAATGAGGATTTTCTAATTAAATTTCGCCCTTCGGTCTGATTAGGAATGAAAAACTCATCACAATTGTGATCGGGGTGGGTGGGTGGGGTTTAATTTTTTTTTTGTTTTTTTTAAATATAAAGTTTTTTTTCAACAGGAATGTTAAACATGTTTTCAGTTTCTGGTTCGGAAAAGAAGACTCCGTATATGTTTAAAAAAAA